CCTGAACAGTTGCAGTTAGGAAGATCTCTTCGCCTTCAAGCACATTTATTGGTGAAAGCTCAGCAACAAATATAGGAGAACTGGGTTGCGAATCTGTCGAAAGTTGGATAGCAGAAGCAATGTGAAGTGTTACATAATAATTTAACAAAATGCAATAAAGTGACCTATATGCTGAATATGTTGCGAGCATACTCACGGCCAAAGTAGATGAGGAAATTATAAGCAAAGCTAATTACATCTCATGATTGGCCTACAACTTTCGCTTATAACAATTTCTGAGGCTATCAGTATGTTAAGACTAAGTAATTACTCATAATTGTAACGTTGCAAAAGCTCCATTATCAATGCTTAATTCACCTTAATTGGCCTAGATTGAATAATTTTTTGGTTCATGTTTACTGGCATTTATTATGTGAGTGGGACAACAAATCACCTGATAAATGCACCAAAGAAGTAGATGAGATTGTCTGGGGGATCTTCTGTCCTGTTGTGTTATCAATCACCTCACCAATAGCCACGCAAGTGTAAAGACCGACGTCTGGCGGGCCGACATTTCGAATCACCACACGAGCCACTCCGGTGTCTTGGAAGTAGGAAATCTCGACATGATCCGACTGCACCAGCTCTCGGTCACCCATCATCCATTTGACTTGGATCGGCTGAATGTCGGCCAGAATCTGAGCCTCTAGTCTGGTCATGTTAAGAGAGAAACAGGTTTAATTAGCTTTCTTTATGTTTTCATCCAATTCGTTCATTAAGGAGCTCTTATGAAACCTATTGCTCACTATTCCATCTCGGAGTAAAGAACAATAAAACATTGCCGACCCTTCAAATCAGTCAAAAGATCGTCCCCACACTACGTAACACACAAGGCATCTGAACATAAGTAGACACTAAATCGAACAAAGTTAGTCTACGAAGCTATGAATGAAAACTGAGTCTCGAAAATCGAAACCCGACACCTTTTCCCCTGATTTAACATAATTTATTGCGCTATTTCGAAAGGTATAGTTTTTTATCAAATGATGCTTTTCACTGTACAGACGAAAGTTTAGCACAGGTTTCTCGGGCTCGCAACAATATAAGCCGAGGACGTCTTATACAATCCAACAATCTTCACCTCGTGGCTTCCGTTGAAACCATTTCAAGAATTCCTTCAAACCAACTTTTTCTTCGAAGTGCGAAATCATGTTACAATTAAATAAGTCCACAACTAATAAAGTAATTTTCCGATAGGTCTAAAACAAGTAGGTAATAAAAGAGTTAAGCTGTCCTCGTAATGGGATTGAAATTCAAGCAAATTTGCAATTTTTAGCTGCAATTTTCTTATTTTTCGTTTATATGTAGGTTTTAAATAATACAACTAGATCATATATATGAAATATATTCATCCTATCTGGTTAAAGTGATAAGGGACTGATAATAGAATTTTCCAACAGTGATTTGAATAGACCATACGTTTACATTGAATTTAATATAGCCTTGCTTCCCAAACGATATTTTGCTCAAGGGTGGACTGCAATTTACGTTTTGGGAGCAAGGCAATGTGAGATTTCATGAAAACACAAGGTATATTCATATGATTGTTGGAAAATTTAACTGACATTCCTTCATCACCTTAACAAAATAGGGTGAATACATATCATATATATGATATAATAGTATTCACAAAAAACTTACTTTTCACCAAAAAATAAGTAAGGCAGTCGATTGCTCCAGCGAAAATCCCCCTACAGAATGGGATATGGGTAAATGCCTGAATTTTATTCAAATGCATATCTACCCTATGAACCAAGGACAGACTTGGCAACGTGGCCTAGTAATTAATTTGTTAGAGATTATACACTATACTGTCATGGTTCGAGTCCCGCTGGGGGTGCTGATGAGGAACTTGTCGAGGGCTAAGCTAAAGTCTACACCAGCTGGGATGAGAATACCTTTAGGAAAGCAAGGTTATATACAATTCAGTGGAAGCGTTACGCCTTCTCATATCTTTGTAGGAAAATTCAACTACTAAGCCTTCACTACCATAGCGAAATAAGGTGAATTCATCTGATATCTCCTTCCCTGGCTAGGAGAATGGCCTCTCTTTTGCAACATTAGGGACTTAACGGAACGGGCTCTATACTATGATGTTCTCTTGCTGTTCTGTAATGTCAGCAATGTACATTTGGGGTGGTTTCTTACCTTACTATCTTCGTTTTATTAGAAAATCAGGCAGGTTCCGAATTCATTAGCTCAATAATCATCCATTTGAGTTTAGCTAATTAAAACGTAGATAATTCCTTATAAGTAGCTATGTAAATAGGGACTTTTATGTTAGACGAATTCACACTAATTTTGAGCCTATCAGCTTTTATTTAGAGTTTATACTCAAGAGAGGACTTCACTACTCACCTAAACAGTTTCGACCAGTGTAGCCTTTAGTGCCCATTAAAAAAGATTTCCCTGTGATTCTAGTATATGCCACCTACGAATTGTAAGCTCAATTTACTGTGGAACTATATACATTACATGTATAAGGAGATTGCGAGGATTGTGATGAAAGTGACTTCTGACTTTGGACCAAAATAATATATAGTGTATTAAAGTGAAGAGAAAATATGTACATACGATGTGAATCTGGCGAGAAATGGAAGCCGAATCCTGCAAACGATATCGATAATATTATGTTGTAGGCGAGTTTAAGCATTATTTGCAAGGTGTTTCGTAATTATAGGTAAGAAAAGAATGGTAAAATGAAGATTCGAGTGAAAATGACAAGAATATATGATCAGTCCTTCTAAGAGCTTCCGAGTTGGACAATATGACGAAAAGCAGTCGAGGCTTCATAGAGATTGCATAGCTTAGCATACTAAGTGAATAAGCTGGTCGCGCGTAGGCACCTTAGTGTCATTTACTTATACGATCTTTGTCAGGTTCCTGAGCATCTATTCGGGGAAGAAACTACAGAATTTGTCAAATATTCAAGGTACTATTTTTGTCTTGAGTAGAGGAGTTTGTGAGCTGCGTTAGAGAATTAGCCTTTCACCATCTCAAACGAAATAACCAGATCTACTGGTCGTCTTTAAAACCTAATTATAAACTGAAAGTAAGTGGCGAATTCGATTGCAATAGCAAATAAAAATATGCTTCGTTTAAGCTGATTAAGAACTGATAATAGAATTTTCCGACAATCATATGAGTAGAGCTGATGTTTTCCATTAAATTTCACATATCCTTGTTCTCCCAAAAGGTGTTCTCATCCAAGATGGACTGCAGTTTCGACCTCGCATAGGTCTTATCAACACCCCAAGCGGGAGTCGAACTATGGCAGAGCAGCATGTAAATTCGGCACATTAACCACGTTAAACGGTGTACCAAACTCACATATCTGATTTACATGTAGTCTCG